AATTTTCAAAAATAATGGCTAATGGCTCTGCAATCTCACCCGCCAACTCCTTTAGCACCCTCGGATGCAGATTTGAGATCTTTGAGAAAAACTGATCTCTGTTTTTGAACTAACAGTAAATTGGCATTGTGCTTGATTTCTCCTGTTTGGATACAAAATATTTAAAAAGTTAGTTTGAATGTGACAATATACACATACGTCTGTACTGTCTATTGCTCGGCACCTTTATCTTGGCATCATAGTGAACTAAGCCCTGCTCTTTAGCTGTGTTGCTTACAGCTTGTTCCTAGAATAATTTGAGCTACCCCATGCTTTTAGACTGTCATTCAGCATGTCTTTGAAAAATTTCTGGCCACCTGGCTGCATTTTCCTTGTCTCAGGTGGCTCAGTATCCTTTCTGGTAGTTTCTCATCACAAACGGTCAGTGCCTCTCAACTGTAACTTTAATATCATTGCTTTGATGCTAGAGTTGATGCCAATGAATTTAATATCCAGTGTATAGCATTGCCAATTTATCTTGGGAGTGATAAGTAGGCAGCATTGATAAAATGCATTTAGTGCCTGAATTCGACTTAAATATGTAGTCTATGGTTCACAGCCTCAAAACAGAGAGGATAAAAACTGCAGCACAGTAAATTGATCCCCAAGAATTAGGGTGCTAATGAATTGTAACTCTTAAAAACAATTAAGTCCCAGCATACTAGAATTTCCTCAATTCCAAATAGTAAAGTTGTCAAATCACCCATGGAGGATAACCTGATAGGCATCTGGTAGGAAGGTTTGTGTTGTAGAAATCTGAAGAAATACTGTTTTGTTTTGTTTTGTTTTGTTTTTAAAAACCACATGCTTTAAAGAATGGAAATTCCATTGCTGACACATCTTCACTTTCTTATTGTACTAGCAAAATGCTTTCCATGCATATGAAATCAATGGGGAAATATTGATTTCTGGCTATGAATTTGCTTTCAAGGCTTAGGCTGACTGTCTAGATACAGTGAGTCTGAAAAATATCTATTCAACTGTTTATAACTATCTAACTGGCATTTTTAAAAATATTACCCTGTATTAATCTAGTGAATAGTGTTATAACTGCCAGAGTTAATGTTTATTACACTTATTAAATGGATTCTGATATCTCATATAAAATAAATGGCAGAGTTAGAAAATTAATACTTTAATTCTTCAAATTTGTGTCAGTAACTTTATCTGCTGATCATCATATGAAGACTACTATATCTGAGCAAAAGCACACACAGCTCTATAGTGTTGGCAATGTGATTATCTCTTTAATTATGTATAGATTCTTTGTTTTCTGATCAAAACAAAATAGGATGATAGGTGAAAAAAGGGTGATCCATGCAACACTGAATAAAGCATCCTTCCTAGATCCTACAACTTGATGGAACTGTTCAAGGATAACTGCCCTCTCAGACCAGCCAATGATGAATCCGGGGCTTTTACACATTCTGTATCCTGGAAACTAATAGACCCATTAACGGCTTGTCAAAGAAATTAGACACAGGATCACCATTGGTCATGGTGCAAATGATCGTTGGTGATAACTCTGGAATTGTGAATTTTATTCATGTTAAAAAATACAAATATTTTCAAGTTACTATGTGCAGTATACAAATAAATGCCTTAAATGGAATTAAACTGCTTGTACTCAAAAATACAATAAAATTAAAATATTACATTTCCCCCGCCCCATCTCCCAGAAGAAGATCAATGTCCAGGTTTCTAACATCCTAAAGTTTAACAGAATTCAGACCCTTTTTTGTGATTCAGCATATATTCAGTTTAAGTTGAGATTCATAGGCTTTGGGCAGTATTCAGATCTGGGCTTTTTGTTCTGCCGTTTTTA